ATCGTGTTTGGAGGCGGGCAGCTTGTTGTCAGAAGCGCAGAGAAGAAAGGTTGACTCAAGACCTTGGTATAATAACGAGTGCGCCGGGAATGATAGCCCATGCGCAGCAGAAGGGGGGGGATCGCCCCTCTACCAACACATACCGCCAATGATACACGAAACCCCCTAAATCTCCGTTGATCAGTATCGAGTGCTGAGTACCCCAAGCAAGCACGGGCACAAACTGTAGTTCCAGTGCCTAAGATGAACGTGATTGCATATTCTGAGAGGAGGGCATTTGTCAGCAACGCGATATATCAGAGGAGTCTTCCAACGCCCCGCCGTGCTCTCGCCAATACCGTTATCTGCCTCGAAAGCTTTCCTTCTTGCCTCAACGCAACACAGGCCTGGCGGGAACTTCTTCGGTGCGAGAGACAAAAGTGCGCAGGATCTGTTCAGGGGAATTTCCGTTCTACCAGGTAGCCGCAGATCGTTTGTTGAAGTGGCCTACTCTTGCCGACCGCACCTTCGAGTTCTGTGTAAGCCCTGCCGGTTCCGTGGACACCTCTCTGATGAAAGCGCTTCGGAATTTTTTCTGTGCGTCTTGGCGTGCTACTGTGCACGTGAGGACTATTGGCCAGGCGTGCAATGGTGTACCTGGAGCAATGTTTTCAAAAGCTCCGTTTCGTCGATAGCATGTGTCGCTATTGTGTGCCATGACCGAAATCGTTTCCCGGGGGGGGGTTGGGCTGTTCAGGGCATCCTCTGTGCTCGGACGACGATTCCATCAACACCGGTGGGAACGGTCTATGGGCGAGTTCGAGCAGTAACGAGCAGGACTTCCTTTCGTCTCGTCCTGTCAACAAGGTCGACTGGTGAGATCAAGAGCACTGCAATTTCCCGATGGCCATACGTTGTTGACCCGAATCGCCAAATAATCGTTGCCAAACGCTGGAATTCCAACCGCGCGAGGATTCGTCAGTTCAAGGTCTACTGCTGTCTGATTCATGCTTTCGTTTTCCGCCCGTAAACGTCGTTTCCGACCAGGTTCGTTTCTCACACTTGGACTCGAGACCGTCGCGATCGAATGTGTCGAAACTTGGCAGAGTTTACCAGGCTCAAGGGGGCGGAGTTGAAAGAAGTGTTGGACGAGATCGCGGCGGAGCAGCGTGTGCTCAGGAGAGAGTCCCAAACGCATTCTCTCCTCGACGAACTATTGATGCAAGTTCCGACGGACCCTATGATGCTTTGGATTGACAAGGTGAGCGTTTAGTTGGAACGGCACTGGGTACGTACTGTGTCTTGCTTTTTTTTCGATTCTACTACAAGTACAATATGCCTGGCATGGATGATAACCGTCTGCTCGTTTCGTTGGTCCTGGTTGTTGGCTGGATCGGCCCCGTCGCCGAAAAGACAGGTACTCGATAGAGAGAATGCTAATCGAACTTCCAGAAACAACGAAGCATGCGCGCTATTCCGCAATCGGAGCAGTTTTGATATACGACGATGCATGCATGAGAACCACTCCTCCGGCTGCGTTTAGTAGGCTCTAGTGAGGGAATATGGAACTTGTCACTCAGCACTCAACATGCGGCTTGGCGCTACCTTCGTATATCTTGTTTTTTCGCCGCTGTTCATCGTTACGTGCATCACTCCCACACGCTTGTCCTCGCTGTCTCTGATTAACAGTCTATCCCTCCCCTGTGAACGTGAAAAGTTCTGCGTGTCTCCCGACTTTCTGGAGCGGAGATTGGTCATCGAAAGACACATGGACTACTTTTTGACAAACAGCGACGGTTTACTTGTCCTCCTCAGCTCCTGCTACTTCCGGCGCTTGTGGTGAGAACGATTTAGTCTCCAGAGTGTATTTACCATATGCCCTTGAACACGATGGGCCAACGTTTTTCAGGACAAGATTGCAAAGTAGCGAGCGGAAAGAGAAGGCTGTCCCGTCCTTCACTATAAATAGCTGCGACAACGGTTCACCATGGACAATGAGGGTTGCGTCCCCCGCGTCCCTTCAATAAGCTCTTCGACCCCCCCCAATATGTTGGTTCCTCTCGATCTGTGCGTAGGATGTCTTTCTCGAACTCAAACAATATTGAGCCCTGTGGCGTAATTCCTAACGGTTTCACACACACATGAGTTTCAACACCCACGACGGGTGTTTTCAAAACCTGTTCCCTACGGCAGGTGTGTCTATGAATGGGGTGTCTTCGTGGCGACGCATGGCATAGACACTCTAGACCGTGTTCGGGTCTGCCTCTCATGGCTCTGCAGCAGTGCTCATTTTCAGGTACGAGTGTAGTTGTATCGGGCTATTGTGTTATGCGGTCTTATGCGCTCATCGGCGTATTGACAGAGTTTTTGGGTATTCGGGGTGTAGATTTGTCACAGATTGTGCTCATTTCAAGAGTGAGACCGAAGGACCTTTGAGGAGGAAATCTTTAGACCTTGATGTTCGCTGTACTTCTCCAGATTTATATCAGGATAGTGGAGTAGATCTTCCGTGTCAAGGGCTCTGCTTTGGCGCGACCAGAGGCTTGGAAAGATGAGTGGAACCTGCCCGCGTCCTCGGATTGCTTCATCTACAGCGATTTGGGGAAGTGAGTCCCCCCTACCAAACGCTGTATCCAACCACGTCCCCGTAGACCGTTATTCGTCAGAGCACCCCCGCTTCTGCTGTGGTATCGGAAACGGGCCGAAACTTCTCAGGTTCCTCTGGTGGCGGGTGATATCGAAACCCTGTCTATCGCGGACCTGAAGTGCTCTGAGCTCAACGACCAGCTGTACCTGCGGTCGGTGATAGCGAACAAGTACCGGTCTGTGCAGGCCTTCAACCGCATGGTCCAGGTAAGGGCGCTATACGCGATACCCTCTTACTCAAGCGGCAGAAGGATGGGGGTTGTGTGCTGTGAGGCTCCCCACCTCTCGACCTAGGCCGTGGATTGCAACACCCTTGGTTGTGTGGGCCTTCTGTTTGTTCACTTTCTTGTCAAACGGAAGATGCGCCTTGCGATCACTTCTCTGATCTTCCATCGCTCTCCGGCTGGTCGTTTCGCCTCAACCCTTTGCCCACAGGTTTCGGCTCTTTGTGCATTGACGAAATGCTACGCCGTTCTGGCCTTGAACTTCTGTACTCCTGGACATGCCAAGCTTGAAGAAGCATGGAGGTGCGTGTGCGCTACGTGTATGTCGAACAGTGAAAAGTCATTACAACCGGCCGGGAAACCTCACTTCGTTTATCCTCTTGTCTGCGGTCATCGAAGGCGGACGAGGTCGTTCATAGATTGTTGAAAGAGACAAAATAGGAAAACGATCGACTTGTTTCTTCTTGATGTACTCGTTATTCTTTCCCGGCCCCGTTACTGATGTACCCCGTTACTGATGTAGTCTACCTTTTGGCGAGTTCTTCGCGCTAGAAGTGGCACATTGCCTGGCAGACAATAAAATATGATTCCTAGGGTTAGTGTGAAACACACACTTCAACCCACCAGCGCGGCCAAGTGACTTCGGTTATGGAACGGCCGCCCATCCTTCAAGTCCCAATGTCTCCCATACCAACACCATCTTCCCATCCACACGGTTTGTACTGAAACGTCCGTCTCCACCAACCTTTTCTTGAATGCTTCTCCGAATAGAACATGTTGCCCGTCCAAGTGGCGTCGCAAATACTTGTATTCCTTCCTGGTTGCGCACATATCCCCTGCTTACACAGGAACCAACACTCATAATCGCCCACAACAACATCAAGCATTTGTTATGGCCTTATGGGCTACACGAACCGTTCTTCCATGCGCGCAGGGTTTTCAACCGGCATCTTCGATGGCGACACACCAAATTCCTACTTCCTTGGCGATCTGTCGCGGAGAAGCTGGGATTGCCGAGCGTTTGCTCGGGGCTGGACAAGTTCTGGGATCAGATGCAACGATCGTTGAGTACGGTGGAAGCGCGAGTCATCGCACATTCCCTTGACCGACTCTCACAGCTTCCGAAAAGGGTGTGGCCATGATGGCATGATCTCGTCGAGAGATCAGCCAGTGTCGGTCAGCTTTCCTCGCACTCTCTTGGTTGTAGAGGAGTCGAACTTTTTACGGTGCGTAGACTAGTCTAGACTTTTCTACCGTCTGTGGTCGACACTTTGCAGAGGGGAGAATCACGACCACATCGCTTTCACAAGCAAGAGGCGGCTCTTCTCAGTGGCGCAGAGAGGGCGGTCTTTCCTCAGCTGTATGTCAAGTCCCGGGCGCAAGAGTCACGAGTAGCATAGCAAACATGACAAGATGCTCTCTCTCGCACCCATTCCCGTCGGTTCATGAATGTCATGCGCACTCGTACAGGGCCAAACTGTCAGCGGAGGGAGACCTGCTCCAAGATGGGTCGGACATGTATTGCGTGTCGGCTCCTCCCAGCATTCGGCTGCGGAATTTCGCCAATTCGGCCGCCCAAGCGCACCTCGCCGTCTTGGTTAGGAACGCCCGTGCCGCCGCCGTGGGGGCCGAAGCCGGCACCCGCACCATGATCAGGCCTCCGTCGGCCGTCGAACCCAGACAGTCTACGGTTGCGCGAGCGTCACCTCGCGACGACGCCAACGCGCTTTTCCAGCCTGAGAAGCAGAGGGGTGGGTCCGTCCTGCTACGTCGAAACGTCGACGAAGTCGTTGACGACGACCATGACGGCGAGCTTCGCTGTGGTGATGGTGACAGCAGTAGTGACAGCGAACGCTCTTGCAGGCTCACCACGTGGTCGTCCCATGCGAGCGAGGCAGGATGGTGAAAAAATAACGTTTGCTGTCGATTGGCACCAAGACCGCACCCTACTGCTGATGGTCGCCCGAGGCGTGAAGGGCCGGGCGGATACACGGGCGGGATGCGAATTTTAGGTACCCGCATTGTGCCAGAGAGGGGGCATGCAGCTTGCTGGCTTGGCAAGCGCTGGCATGGTAAGCGCCGGCTTGGCAAGTACTTGCTTACTCCAAAAATAATCGCAGGGTTGAACTTGCACCACTCACGCAAGCCCCAACATCGGTATCAGGTTGCCGGTAGCAGTTCGATACGGAAAATAAGATCGTCTTTCGCTTGCACGGCGGGGGATTCGAGTGTGAAACTCGATTGGCCGGTCCACACAGACAAACGAACCACGCGCTCTGCACAAGAGATTGTGGGGTTCGCTCATCACCGCAAGAGCGGCGTAAGTGTCACTCTTCCTTTAGCCTTTGCGTTCTTTACGTCGCCAACACCACAGCCACCTTCGCCTCCGGCAAAGCAAGAACCAAAACGTGATCGTGAATCACAACGTTGCAGTCGTAAGGGCGCTCGAAAATACACCGGAATGGTGCTCGAAGCAAACAAGCCTTGATTTGGATCAACTCTGCTCGCCACGTCGTCCACCAACAACTCTGTTGCCAAAGAGGCAGCGCAGTCAGCCTTCGCTCACCCTCCCATGCTTATCCTACGACTCCTGCCGCCGCAGCAGCCGGCCCAACAACCCCCAACGTTGTCGGTGGCACAGCAGCGGAAGCATCAGTCGTCGCTACCACTATTGCAGATTCCCCAATTACCGCCGCCCCTGGCACCGCCGGACTCGCTGCAGTTGCTGTTGCTACTCCTGCTTCCGATACAACTGCTGTCGTCGTCATCGACGTCGCCGTCGTTACCGCCGCCACCGTCGCCGCCGCCGCCGCCGCCGCCGTTGTTGCCGCCGCTGCCTTGCTGGCCGTGTTGAGCTCGGCGTTGACGTGGGCGACCCAGGGCTTCCGCACGTTTTGGTTTTGTCGCTGGGCGGCGTTGTAGCTCGCCACCCGGCTCTTGTCCTTCCGTGATCGCTCGCTGCGTTTGCGACCGGTTTCCTGGGGTACATCGGCGATTGTTCCCACCCAGGTAACAGCAAGTGGGTCGGGGGTGGGTAAGGGCTTTCCGTGTGCGGCGACAACCCCCCGCGCTTATGGCAGGAACTGAAAACATGACACTCACTCCGGGACGCACCAACATGCAACCAGAAAGACAAACTCCCACTCTCAATCACAAGGAAAGCTGTTGACGAGCACTCCAAATCAACCAAATACACCTACAACGAAAGAAAGGCTACCGTCGAGATATAACCACAGCCAAAAGGGCTGGGTTGAAGTCTTTTCAGTGAATCGGGAGGAAAAAAACGACAGGAAACTGAGAAAAAAAAAACGGCGCCTACGACAGACAGCAAGCAGACGCGGAGGCCGTACATGGTGGAGTTTCTCCGCAGCCGCCGCGTTGCCACCGCACAGTTCCGTCAAAAGAGAGAGGCTGATAAGCATCAGCTGCTGCCCCGCTGTCCTCGTTGCCTTTCGCTTCGCTCCGACCCTCTGCCCCTTATCCTAGAAGGGATAGGATGCGTGGAAGGCGTGAAGCGTTGAAAGGTGAACCAAACATGTCAAGGGGGCGGCGAAAATTCGCGTCTCTACTGCTATAGGGTAGGAGCTCAAGGGCTAGAGTGTTTGTGTGTCCCAAATAGTCTGGCGCTAGTCTACCACCTGTAGGTGTAATTGTTTGACGCATCAGCCGGGATCACACCGGAGGATGGTAAAACAAAGGATTGCTTGTTTTTCTTTAGTTTTGTGGTACAAATGAGCATGGGCTCGAGTTCGAGCTCGGCAAAAGCTAAACTTCCGGAGGAGGAACAAACACTACCATAACATGACAGGCGCTGAAACTAGTGGATAATGTTCACACTCTCGCTGAACGTACAAGACAAATAAACGGATCTATTCCAAGCCTTGTCACCCATTCCACTTGTCCCCACGATAATCAGGGGGGAAAATTGATGACGCTCTCGAAGAAAGGAAGCTCGAAGCGTGGAAACAACAACCAAACCAGTGGAAAACAAAGCTGGAAGCAAGTGGATGAGGCGCGAAAGCATCAACGCAACGTACCTGCGCTGCCAGACTCTTCTCCAGCGAAGCGCAGATGGACTGCACATACTCCGCCGGTTGTTGGAGCGCGGCAACCACGCTGATTGACGAAGGCCATCAAGTACGCAACAGCAGGGGAGCGGGGGAGGAAGCGAAACGGTTAAGCGTCGAGGTACTTGATAAGCGGCCCAGAATAGAAATAGCTCCCTAGCATGTTCTTCGAGACCGAAAACGGCAGTGTTGCCTCTTTGTAAACGTAAAATCAGAGCTAGGGGCTGTGAATAGCGCTTGCAACATTAAACGTCCCGTTCACTCCCAGTCCCATGGAATGAAAACCAAACAATATCACCCAACACGGCACAAAACCACATACCACGAGATGTTCAGAGATCATGTGCTCCTCCAACCTACCACTTAACAGGCACAGTGTTTTGTTGGGCGGGGGGAGCAAGGACGCTGCCAAGCTATACGAATAGCGCAATCAACAAACGCCCAACAATCCAACCTCTCATACCCTGGAGGTCTACACCAGGCCAGAGTAACTCGTAACGTGCCGCATTGTGAACAAAACAAGAGTTCCACGTATCACATCATGGTCCTAGGACGATCGACGCGGCATCAGGACAGGGCTGACGAATACACAACACAAAGAGCATATCAAATGGACACAACAGTCATGTCGTAGCCCCCCCCCCCCCCCCCCCCCCCCCCCCCCCCCCCCCCCCCCCCCNCGTAACGTGCCGCATTGTGAACAAAACAAGAGTTCCACGTATCACATCATGGTCCTAGGACGATCGACGCGGCATCAGGACAGGGCTGACGAATACACAACACAAAGAGCATATCAAATGGACACAACAGTCATGTCGTAGCCCCCCCCCCCCCCCCCCGCACGCGTCCCCTCACCCCTACCTCGTCAGCCATTGCCGTGCGTCAGACAGCGACCATTCGCTCATGGGCGTTGGAGGCCCCGCTCCCCCGAGCTCACTACCCTTTGCCGCCGCCGACTTCATCGGACGAGAAAAACACAACACACACAAACGACGAAAAACGAGCGCGATCGCTATAAATAAATCGTGCCTTGAACGCACACCTAGCTCCTAGAAGTGAGCAATAAATGGAGCAATCCAAACAAAAAATACAATACGCCCGAGTTTCGGCCATGTTTTCTCGCCTTCCGCCCGACACGCTCACGAATGAAAACCTACTGTGAAAAATGCCGAACATTCGCCAGAGAAGCAAACAGCGTCTTCATTTCGGGTGGAGAGTCAGCCCCACAGTGGTACTCAATTTTGTTGATAGCGAGCACAGTTGGAAATGTGCCTAATACAGGAACAGTACTGCACAGCACAGGACATCACACGCTGCATGCCGCAAGCCGCTCGCGTGGAAAGGCTGTTCGTCGTGAGCTCACCACTACGGCTTGGAAAAGAAAAGGTCATTCGGACACCAACGCGACAGAGTGTGCCCGATGTCCCCATACTTACAAACAGACATGTGCAAGAAGCTACAGAAAATGTACACCTCAGGATGAAAGAAACGCTCTCTTCAAAAACTACTTCACACTCGCGCCCTCCCCTCTCTGGTGGAAGTCGATCTTAGTTTCTTCCACATGGAATAATTCGTTTCGGGAAAATAACGGTACTAAAATTTCACTCAATCACCTTGTGCACTTCTCTCTGGTGAAAGTCGAGGGCCTTGGCTGCGTTGAAGCCGGCCTTGCACTCCGAACAAACGTACGGATACAACGGGTCCTGGAACGTAAACCGGGGGGCACGCCAACGGCAGGATCGTACGTACGGAGGGAACATGGCCGCATACTCAAGGAGGAAGCGGGAGGGGAGGAGGGTACACGTGTCAGATAGTCCCATGGCGAATTTCAAAACGCAGCATGTTGTTCTTCGGTGGTGCTGCATCCCCGCCTCACTGTACGGAAGCCTCTACGGTTTAGGTCCACACCAGCTCAACTGCACGCTACAACGTCGTCACAACCAGCAGAGCAGCAGAGGTCTCCGTACAGGCCGCGCTTTCAAGGCCGAGAAATTCGTTGATGCCACTGGCCACCTGTGTCGCTTTGGCTCCACATCAAGAGCAACCTACACAATGAATGCATAGACACGTCGCGACTCATGTTGCCGGCCAGTGAGAAGACATGCACTTCCGGAACCGAGACTGACTGACAATTTGGCAGATCTTGACGGTCACATGATGGAGCGATTGGTCGAATTACGCCTACGAGTATTTGTGGGTTAACCTGGGGTGGATTGCTGAGCCCGAAATATCCTGCAGTATGGGACGAAGTCTCAAGAGGGGGGGGGGGTCTGCGTTGCTCTCAACTGACGAGATATTCAACAAGAAATGGCAAGCGTTAAGGAAGCTGTAAACTTATACCTGGCCAAGCAGCAGCAGCAGCAGCAGAAGATGACCCCCACCCCCCGATCATTGCTCACCTCTCAGCTGCCCGCCTCTACCACATCTCCAATATGGACGTCACCGGCTACCGCTGTCGCTAGAAGTGTACGACCC